GTCTCTGTCTCTATCTCAGGCATCTTGTCTCTCTGGGTAGGGTCCCGCTCTCAGCTCTTCTCCGTTGATGGCCCCAGAGACCTCCGTTCCTATCCTGGAGAATTAATCACTCCCTTCCTCTTTTTCTCTGACCCTCCACCTTACCAAACATGATATCCTTCTCCAGTGACTGGTCCCTCCTGACAGTATGTCCAAAGTATGAGAGACCAAGTTTGGCCATCCTGGCCTCCAAGGAGCACTCTGGCTCAGTAATATTTAATGGAAAATTAGAAAATATCACAAACTATGGTCCTTCTTTGTAATCACACCCTTTGTGTAGTCCTTCCTCACAAAGCTGTATCTGTGCTGGTTAATGTTGTATGCCAGTTGTGGTGTAAATCTTAAGGTGTGTCATCTTCCTCCTTGTGCTCTTTATATCCCTGAGTTCAACATAAGAAGTTAGGCTAACCTGATTCTAACTCCTTAGATCGTAGATCCAAGCCTGGTAAATACTATTTGAGCATATGGAATGAAGGAATGCATTCATGTATGAATATTAGGGATGCCAGCCACTTGACTTTTGTCTTATGTTTTGCTTTAGTCGTTCGTTTCTTAACTGACATGATGTTATAAGAGACACATGGAATGAAAATAGCTTGTTTTGTCTTGTTTTCTTTTACTGGTGGGAATTTTGATAATGGTGAGACTTACTATTTTTAGAGATTAAGTTTTGTTTTGTTTTTTTTTTCTTAAATGTTTTATTGTGAATTATGTAATAGTTTACATGGCAGAACGTTAGTTTTACATTCATTCTATCGTATATTGTCTCATTGTCATGGTTACAGTCCCCTCCATACATCAACAACCAACCAAAGGGTATACCCTGCGCAGGTCTGCTCCCCCCTCACTCCCTACCCCCCCTGGTCTTCAGCACACAGTCCCTCTCCCTCTCTGGTTCTAAAGTCCCCAGCTCCTCCATAGTTCCACGTCATCATCTCTGCCTCCATTTCAGGCATCACTGCTTCTCTGGGTAGGGTCCTGCTCTCACTCTTCTTCGTTGATGGTCCCAGGGACCTCTGCTCCTAGACTGGAAAGTTAGTC